TTCGCGGCCCCATAGGGAGCTCCACCGAAGGCCCCAGTGGCGGTGTCCGCATGCCTTTCCCCACACAATGTAACGTTTTGTCGCCCCATGGGGGCTCCTCCGAAGGTCCAGTGGCGGTGTTCGCATGCGCCTCCCCCGCCCAGTGCAGCGTTTCGCCTAACCACCCTGTGGTGCTGGGTCCTCGTTTTGGAGAGACGGCGTCCAGCGTCTCCCACCTCTCCTCTTCCTTCTTCTCCTTCTCCTCCTCCTCCTCCTCCTCCTCCTCCTCCTCCTCCTCCTCCTCCTCCTCCTCCTCCCCCCTCTCCTCCCCTCACCAGTATGTGTCTGCCCCGCAGCGTTTCGGGGCCCCGTAGCTGAGCTCGCATGCGGTTCCCGCATCCAATGCAGCGTTTCGTTGCCCCATAGGGAGCTCCACCGAAGGCCCCAGTGGCTGCTCTCGCATGCGTCTCCCCCGCGTTTCGTGGCCCCATAGAGGGCTCCACAGAAGGCCCCAGTGGGTGCTCTCGCATGCGGCTCCCCCCCGCCCAGTGCAGCGCTTCGTGGCACCATAGGGATCTCCACCGAAGGGCCCAGTGACTGCTCTCGCATGCGTCTCCCCCGCCCAGTACAGCGCGCCGTGGCTCCATGGGGAGCTTCATCGAAGGCCCCAATGGCAGCGTTCGCATGCGCCCCTCCCGCCCAGCACAGCGTTTCGTGGCCATAGGGAGCTCCACAAACGGCCCCACTGGCGGCGTTCGCATGCGTCTCCCCCGCCCAGCGCAGCGCTCCGTGGCCCCACAGGGAGCTCCACCAAAGGCCCCAGTGGCGGCGTTCGTGGCCCCACAAGGGGGCCCCACCGAAGGCACCAATGGCGGCCCCGCTCCATTGCGGCGCACCCCTCGCGCGTTTCACTGCCCCGTACTGGGTTCTGCCTAAAGCACCAGTGGCAGCGCCTACATGGCGGCCCCGCCCCACATCGGCACACCCTTTTCATGCTTCATGGCCCCTATGAGGAGATCCCCCGAAGGGAAATGCCCGCAACGAAGGTACTCACTTGGTTGGGTCCTTCGCGATTTTTTGTCTTGCTCTTACTCTTACTCGCTCTCTCTCTCTCTCTATCCCTCCATACGTCTACCTTCGATGTTTATATTTTTATTTATATATATATACACACATAACTTTGTAATCTACCCGTGTACACATCAAAATTAAAACATCCTCCTCGCATATTGCGGCTTTCTTCGTCGGGGCAACCGGACCATTCCATATGACTGCCCGCTTGAATGTTTGGAAGAGCAGCGCGACTTAGCGTCGCATGGCACAATCTTTGGAGTCGCCCAACGTCCCTCTCTCCAGTGACAAGTGACAAGCGGAGATGAAGAGGCAGAGGGGGTGAACATGATACCTTTGAAGCCCAATGCCGCCATTCGGATCTCAGATCATCTGGGCTTTGTCTTTGTGCCCTTGCAAGTCAAACGTTGGCGGACCTGCGCCAGCATGCGGGATAGCCCAGCTTCCTCAGCGCCTTCGTATTCAACCTGCTGCATGGAGTTTGCCGAACTGTAGTTGCGCATCTCCACCATCCTCAGGTGAGGGCGCGAGGGGAAAGCACAGCGCAACACCCTCTGACGAGCAAGTCCAAGGGCAACAACCAGCGGGATAAGATATGGCAAGAGTCGCGCAACAGAACAGTATGGCATCTACAACGCATGAGGTGCAAGCTGCTGAGGTGCGGCGCCAGAGAAATGATACAACTTCATTTTGCGAAGACTCCGGACGCAACGGGTGGTCGTGACCAATGCAATCGACACATCCGATATGACATCTTGCTCCAAGAAGTCGTGGGACACATTCTCCATCGAGCTTTGAAGATCCTGGGGATCCCGAGAGATTCGGTGGGTCCCTTGGCTCATCGGGGGGCAGAACAAGTCTCTGTGGGGCACCTTCTGGCAAACCGATTCCCTCCTTGAGTTGCCTGCCGTGATGCACTCCGGCGTGGGTGCTAACGAGGGCGGCGCGCGCGGCGTGGCACGCGAGGCACGGCACACACGCTGCTTGCTTGCGAGCGCAGAAACCTTGCGGTCAACATGTGGCCTCCACATGCGCGCGCAGGCCCGCGGGAACTGGTCGTGGACTTCAGAGTGCGCCGAGCGGCGTGACCGTTGGAGCTAGGGGGCCACATGCGAACCCTACCCCTACCCCCCACGATTTCTGAGGGGGAGGGTGGGGTTCACTCTGCTCGGGAGCTCCCGAACGAAGTGAACCCCACCCTCCCCCTCAGAAATTGTGGGGGGTAGGGGTAGGGTTCGCATGTGGTCCCCCAGGAGCACCCCACCCCCGCTCCATCGCTGCGCACGCCGCTGCCTGCAGTCGTCGTGCTACCACAAGGACAGCGCCTAAGCAGGCGGCACGAAGGGGGCTCTTGTGGCCACGGCGGGCCTCGGCTACGAAAGAGGCTCCCCGACCTGGAGATCCAAGCAGGGGTCCGAGAACTAAGGATTGCAAACAAGATTTGCAAAAAGGTTTTTTTTTTGCAATCCTTGTTTTTTTTGCCATCCTGTTTTTTGTTGCAATCCTGGGTTTTTTTGCAGCCCCTCCTGAGCCGAACATGGCCCTTGACTCAGCGTCCTGACTGCAAGCGGTGCGAGACGGCTGCAGGGCTGTGCCCAAGACGCTGCGGGGACGGCCACGAGACCTGCACCACTGCCAAAGCTGGCCCGCTATGGCCGCCAGGATGGCCCAGTATCTCCCGCCTCGTTTTTCAGCATGGCCCCTGGGAGCCGCTCAGATGCGATGGGGCGAGATCCCCACGAGACAAGTGAGATCCCACCAAGACGGGCGCGATCCCAACGGTCCAGAATACCCGAATGGGTGAGATCCCAGCGAACATGAGAAGCTCTTTTCAGAATTGTGCTTCCGTGATCATCGCGGCTTTGAAAACCGAATGACATCCCTTAAAGGGGGCTGACGCGGTTATCATCGTGCCCCGTTGGAATCCCATTCGTGTAACTGCCGTATGATCGGGGAATCGATCCTTGACAACGGCGCTTTGTTTGTATGCCGTGTTCAGGCCACTACTACTCCCATACCGCCCAAGGTGGCCTCAAGACGCTCCAGGACTGCTTCAGGATTGCTCAAGAGGCTGCCAAGACGGCCCAAGAAGGCTCCAAAAGGCCTTCTAAGAGGGCCCGAAGAAGCCAAGGTCATTGTCTTGTCGGGCTTCCGACCGCCGAAGACGGCCCCACGGGCCTCCTAGATGGCACCAGCACGGCCCGAGAGACCCCCTAATATGGCCCCAAGGCGGGCTAAGAGGGACCCAAGAGGCGCCCAAACTGGCCCAAAGGCGGCCCAAGAGACTCCCAAGACAGCCCTACAGCGCGCCCCAAAGGCTCCGAGACGGCCAAGAGAGGCCCTTCAGAAGACACCCGAAAATCTCAGACGGGCCCTCCAGAGGCCCCCAAGGCCCCCAAGGAGACCCCAGAAAGGACCTGGTGAGGCCCCCCAGGAGGCCCCAAGCAACCCCCCTTGAATATGATCCTCTCCATCCTCCTTCAAAACGTGTTTCCCGAAATGGTTTCCGCCACGGCTGGGTAGCACATAGCTCAATAGTCTGGCAAGACTTTGGCCCAACGTTTGGCCACATATGCGCTTCCAAAGGGCAAGGACGGCGGTGGTCTGCCGTAAGCGTCGTCGACATAATCGCCGTCAACATCACCATTACAACTAGCGCCATTGTGACACCCATCAACCTAATCATCACCCTCATCCTCTTCCTCGTTATCATTACCCTCTCCGTTTCTCCTCCTTGTCCTCCCCCGTAGTGCCCATCAACACCCTCATCATC